TGGGACACGCCGAGTTTTTGATCATCGATGTAAAGTTTTTCTCAATTTGATACTTCGACATTTCAGAGTTCAATTATTAATATTAATGAAATATGATAAATTACGGTATACTACATGAAAATATCTCGGTTAGTATATATCGTTTAGAAACGTGTGGGGAATATTGATGATGTGCTCCAATTATAGATATAGAAAACAACAAATTGACATAAGACACTGACATAAAACATAATTAATTAAAATAACATTTTTTTTTCTTATTCAAAATATCTGAACATTATAATATCACACAATATATTTATCACACAATTACTTGTGTAATAAATATTTACACATATACGTACTTGCTTAATTATATTGATCTCATTTCTTTTTTGAATTAAATTAATTTAAAACATTTGCACTTCGTTTAAATTAACATGTGCTTTTCGTTTTTGTTTTATTAATTTTTGTAATTTGTTTTAATAATTTGTGCTTTGGTTTTCTTGTCTGGTACTTTTTGTATTGGTATTTTTTATTTGGTTTTTTTTTTATACCTACTCAGCGTCTTCTTTTTCTTTGGTAAAGACTGTTTGTTACGATCCCACTATTTTTTGTGTAGATTATTTAGTACAAATCTTTTACATTATTTTTGTAGCAAAGAAAATGTATGCACCTTTGGAATTTCGTGGCCAACTGCATTTTTTATTGTGGAATCATTAAGTGCAATCCATTTTGTGTACTTATTACACACAACGTTTATATAATGTCCATTAGTTATATTTTCATTATTGTGGAAAATTTCACTAATAATTTTATATATATCTGTGCCTATATTTTTGACGTAGATACACCTTTAATTTTTAAATTTGTGATTTTAAACGTTTTGTTATATTAGCAGTTTTAAGTAATCTTAAAATGAGGATATTTTGTTGTTATTATTATCTCTTTTTTTCAATTATACTAAGTTTTCTCCACAAGGACTACATATTTTTCCTTTATTTTTTCAACTTTTAAAATTGTATTCTATTAATTCTTGTAAAGTATATGATTTTTTTCAACTTTTCTGGCAATTGAAGTAATAGAATATGATTAGACTGGATTTCTATATTTGTAACACATTTTACTATAAAATTTCTTTCGTGTAGTATCTTTTCCTTTAATATGAACTCGCAGGCTGCGTTCCAATATTTACTACCAGTATTGAAACTCTATATGTGTACGTGACACAAACTACAGATCTTGAATACTAGTAATGAATGTCGTAATGCAGTCGTAATCATCAGTGAACTTTATTAAATTTATAAATGAAATTGTTTTATTTTATTTACGCATTTATTTACACTAGACGAAAAGATATATAATCGATTTAATATTTATTGCGCATGTAATATACGTCCATTCTGATTGGTGCAGTCTGTACGGAAATCTTTATAATATTTTACCTACGAAAATCTTTTCTTTCTCGCCAATTAATTTCAAATTCAGATTACACGTTTGCAATGCAGAGCGCGGACATCAAGCGCAGATTGATATAAAACTATAAGAAAATGTACATAAAATTATAAATATAGTTTGATATGTACATCTAATAGTCGAACATGAATCTTTTCTTCTAGTCTAGCGTAAATTCGTGAATTAATGACAATTATTATAAATACCAAGGTTGGGAAGTAACGCGTTACTTGTAACGACGTTACTATTTCGTTACTTTTTTTGGTAACAATTTGGTAACGCCGTTACTTTTTTGTATCAGTAACGAAAAAGTAACAGCGTTACATTTTCTCTAGTAACGAGTAACGAAATTCATCGTTACTTGTATCGTTACTTTTTACTATGACGGCTTCTGTATACAGAACGCGACAATGCTTGCTACGCGATAAAAGTTTGCACACGATAAACAATTAATGTGCTGCTTTCCGTAAAGTTCATTGTACAATAAGCAATAAATCTTAAGTCATAATAAAATTGACCAATCATAATCAACTATTAGAAGAATAATTCACTATAATTGGTCATTTTTATTGCGACTTAAAATTTATTGCTTATTATTATAGAAAGCCTTTAAAGCGTGGTCTACAATGAGAACTTAAACCATAAAATTTAAGCTTTAATCTCTAAGCCGTAAGAAATTGTTTTTCTTATAATTGTGATTGGTCAACTTCTTACGGCTTAGGACTTAAAACTTAAATTTTATGGCTTAAGTTCTCATTGTAGATCACACTTAAGGGGCGTCGCACACGAATTAACATAACAGTAACGTAAGACATACCGTAAAAACTGACCAATCACTATATGTATCACTTTGAGTATCGTCGAACCATAAGGTCGCCATTTTTGTGAATACTCGATTATAATTGGTCCATTTTTACGGTACGTCTTACGTTACTGTTATGTCAATTCGTGTGCGGCACCCCTAAAGCCCATTTTACATTAGTCGCAATCGCAAGATCGGTAACACATATTTGTAAAGCACGTTATATTATATAATATATATATACATTAATTGTGCGTAATTAAAAAATTCTATTATCATTAAGCTAAGTAAGGATCAGTTCCACAACTCCCAGTTAACTTAAAAAACTAGTTATTTCATTGAAATTGACCAATCATATTTGTCGTTAAACAGAATTGACCAAAAATAACCATTCACGATTTATATTTAGGCTGAGTTCCCAGTGGGAACTTCCCACTTAGCGCGTCACACGTCTCGTCGCCCGAGTTAAACCTATCAAATGGTCCTATTTCATTCGTCGTAAAGTTACGTCAACACATAGACATAGTAAACATGGACCGAATGCCCTATGTTCTGTTATTTAATAGAGTGAAATCAACATTTAGAAAGAGAGCTAGAATAGAAAGGCTATAGTTTTCTTCCTATTTTGTCATTTTTTTGTTGCGCGTGCATCCATTTCTCGTTTCCATAATATTATAGAGCAACAATATCCCGACAAGACTGGCAAGTAAAAAACTTATTTAAATTTTATTGCACACTTTGTCTGTGCAGAAAGAGACAGAGAACATAGAGGGGCTGTACATATTGACTTCCCTTTTCTGGCCGTATGCGGGATCCATGTATATTACGTCCATGCGTCAACATCTAGTGAATTCGCTCACTTTTCGCATTTTCACTTCTCACACAGAATCGTAATAAGCTCCTTGCTTCTCGAACGCATCTTTTATCGTGCGATTTTTTAAATCGATTTTTTTAGCAAATTGATTTTAATCATTTCGATTAGATTAATCAGATCGATCCATAAATCGATTTTTTTTCATGAGAATCGAATATCCCTAATGCCAACCAAAGACGCGTTCAGAAAGCGCTAACGCGATATTTAATCCTTGTTGTGCATATAATGAGTGAAAGAAAGATAGAATAAATTCCTTATTGTATATCAGCACGCGTTAATTGCGTGCTGATATACAATAAGGATTGAATTATGCGTTAGTGCTGATCTGTGCGTTTCCTGAATAACTTTGGTTTGCACCACATAGCACCCCTTATAATTCCAACAGTCTTGAGACTTGGAGTCGCAACCGTCAGTTTCGGGACCTGCCACGCGGCAAAGGGAGATAAGAAGGCGTAACTCCCGAGAATCAGCCGAAATGAGCAAACTATTCCCTGTCCTAAAACAATCTTCAAAGCCCTGTCCTAAAACAATTTTCGAAGCTCTCGTGGAGGCATAGTACGAATTGAGATGAACATAAAAGTCCTATATCGTTTGTGATATTTGCAATAATTATCGAGATATTAATTAAAGAAGATTTGAATAATCATAAGAGATATGGTAGATAAGTTATAGTGGCGACGTTTACTATTGTGTACTTGTACATTAGATCAAACTAAACAAAAAATCTTCTACCATTTTACTAATGACTTCGTAGATTTTTAATTATTAATAAAAAATTGACAGATACTAGATTTTTAATTATTAATTAAAGATTAACAGTCGCTCGCGATAATATATTAATGTTATCTAATTAATAACTAAAAATCTACAAAATTATTAAGAAAAAGATAGAGGACTTTTTGTTCAATTTGGCCTAATAAATCAAGCACACAATGGCAGATGTCACTACTACAATTCATATTTCACGTGATTATTCACACATCTTCTTTAATGAATATGTCGATAGTTATTGCAAATATCGCAAAATGATATAGAACTTTTATATTCACCTTAATCCGTTCTATACCTCCACGAGAATTTCGAAAGTTATTCTGGGATCCTGTATAAAATGCGAAAAATTTTAAAAATTAAGTCGATGGATTCCGAACGAGCTCATCCTGGAGAGAAGATTCGACACGGCGGTATCCTTGCTAACGAATACGAAAAAATACGAAATAAAGAATTTTTTGTACAAAATCTCATTATTGAAAAGTGAGTTTTGTATGACCTCAACTCTCAAAGAAAGAAATCGTAGCTTGACTCTGGTCAACCATTGATATCGGCCGTGAAACGCAAAATGCTTTTTATGTATTTAGTGAGATATGAAAAGCGTGATATATTACAAGTTACTGTAATAAAGTAATCTGGTCAAACAATTAATGTTGAATATTACTAACAACAACTTATTCGTTTAGGTAAAATAGAAAGGAAAAAATCGTTTATTGACAATGAAACAGCAAGTCATCTTGCTGCACAATAACGCTACACGTCTTAAAAGAGACGAAAGATATTATTTATTTTTTAGACTGAGAAGTTTTTCCTTATGCGTGGTTTATGAATCAGATCTAGACCCTTCGGATTACCATCTATTTTAATTCCAATACTACCTAACTGATATATACTTTAAAAATATGGAAGAAGTTCAAACAAATATCGACGATTTCATCGATTCAAAGCCATTTTTTTAGAAGACTGCTCAATAGATGGAATATTAGAAAATAATGGCGGATATTTCGAACATTAACATAATTCTTTTTTTTTAATAAAGGCTCGATTTCAAAAAAGCACCGAATTAATTTATAATAAATTTAATAATTTATAACAAATTTATAATAAGATAATTATACTAACGGTATGGTATTTGTGCAGGTAATCTCTATTAGGGCTATGATGTGATTTCGGAGTAGATCGCCCGCTTAATGGTGGTGAAGCACGTTCGAGGCTTCGACCCCTTGCTAATAAATTCATGTGTTCAAGGCTGCCAACGCGAGACTCCAATTCTTCAGCACGTGCTTCCGTACTCTGTTTTTCTTCCTAGAAAATTAAATATAAAATTAAATTTAAAATGCACATGAAGTCACAAATAAATAAAGTACGTTATAGAATAATAATAAAATGTTATAGAATTTTAATTAATTAAAATAACTGTAAAACACTCTGTTAGTTTTAAGATAACCTATAGTCTATCATATATTATATTAATTTATGATATAAACTTTATTACCTGTATCAATCTAATTTCGTTATTAATAGCATCTAATTGTTCTTGCAACATTAGCGCTAGTGTTTGGGCATCTGTATGACCGGTAGGACTAATTACGTCACCCGTGCAACTAAATATACTTTCATTATCTCCATCCCCTTCTGCATCACTCGAAACATCAAAAGCTTGTTGAACATTAGCAAGTACATGCGCTTGTTGCAGTTTCTCCCATTCCTGCTCCGCTAGAGTCCGTGCCACATAATTCTATGAAGTAATATGTATACTTAATTAATACTGTAATGTATAATATAATTCTATGAAGTATTATGTATACTTTTATTTTTAAATATACAATAACGTATAAAATAGTGATAGTGATTTCTAAATAACATTTTTCAATTTCTTTCATATACACGCCATATAATACCTTTGACGAATCATCTTCGATAGATCGTTTACCACTTCTTCTAGGTAACGAATGCGTATCAAAACTACTGTGACTCGCACTCCTTGAAAAAGAACTTGGATCTACAGCGTTTGGAGATAAACTTCTGGTTAAAGCGTCTGTTTGCTGAATATTAAATGCAATCTCCTGCTGGAGCATCTGTCTCTTAACGTTATCGATTTCTAAGCGAGCTTTTCCCAATTCCTTAACGATGTCAGCCTTTTCATTCTGGAGGTCTTCTGCCACCTTTCTCGTCTTTTCAAGTTCCTGAGTAAGCCCATTTTTCTCTTCTAACCATTGCATTCTCTCATTCAAATGCATTTGCAATCTTTCGTTAGATTCTAAAAGAAATTATAAAATTGAACGTTATACTTTTAATACTTTTACATTTGTGTACTTCGTGCGAGTTACCGGAAATGATATTATAACTATTCATGGTGTGAATATAATTGTTTGTAAGTACAATTATATTCAACTGTTTGAGTGTAAAAACACCTTTTTTACATTTGGAGTGCTTATGATGAGTTGGATTCGGTGAGATTCGAATTTGAGAGAGTAGAATATATTTCCATCTACAACTATTATTTCATGGTTTACTCCTGCTCTACTCCTGTCTATCCCATAGCAATAGGAACAATTCGAAACAATTCATAGCCATTAAGATAATTTATCTTATTTAAAATGTTTATTATATTTAATTTGTAATTAAATTTTCCAATTTTTGAAATATTAAAAACCGTTATTACTGAGATAATGTTTGATATATGTTAACTGTAAGCATACATATATTTATTTTTATGATAACAGAACTTTAGTTTAATTCATCATCCAACTTTTGATCATTCTGATTCTCTTTTTAGTAGAGTTACAAAATAGAATAGAGATTGAAATAGAGATGGATAATGATGTGTTAAGTTTTAATATATCTTTTATTTCTATATAAAATACTTTTTCATTATGATGATCTCAAGAATAGAAAATAAACGAAATATAACCCCAAACAATAAAAATATGTAAAATACACTTTGGAGACATCTTAAAGACATCTAAAGCAAATAGGATATATGATAGACGTTTCTAACATGATTCTTCGTCATTTATATTATACGGGAATGATTAACTATATATTAAACAAAAATAATTAACTAAATGATTTTCATATTTCACTTATCAGCTAGTGAATGAAACATAAGATGTTCGTAATACATTTGTATTTTAATGTATTTTGTCGAATATTTTGTATATAATCATCATCATCTTTATTGAAAAATAAATCTCATAATAATGGCACATTCATATATACAGGGTATCCCAGATTACCTTCACAATCTCTCGTGTGAACGTAGAACGGATTGAGTTGAACACAAAAGTTCCACAACGTTTTGCGATATTCTCAATAATAACCGAGAAATTAATTGTAAAAGATTAAGGAAAAACGCACGCATGGTTGAGGAAGGAGCCCTCGCATATTTTTTTATTAAATACTTTTTTTTAAATACTTAATGAAACTTGAAAGTTACAGTACCACCGGCATTAGTATTACCCAAGATGTACCACGCGGTGTGCGCACGCGCGTGTGTGGGTGGGTGAATGGGTGTGATGTGACGGTCCTTATCTGTTCCGTAACTTATTATCGTAAACACACACACACACACACATACACACCATTCAACCTATAAACACTTGATAATAGTACAGAATATATAGTATGATAGTCTGAATTTATCCGAAGGAGAGCGGGTGTGACATCTATTTACCATCTATTTACTCTAGGTCCACAGACTAGGTTTGTTCGTTGCTTGTACTATTCACACTTTTACATCTAATGCCCGTTGCACGCTAGTGCACCTCATACAATACAAATTTTCCAATACGTTCTGAAGACGCTTTTAGGACGGAGGAATATTATCAGAATATTCTTAAGACATCCTTTGAAGATGTGAGCTGTTTGAAAATAGCTAATATCCAATAAGTTTATTCATATTAATTGAATTTTTTACA